GTTAAACCAAAAAAAGAAATTCTACAGTTTATATATGCAATTGGTAAACTGTGCATCCAAGGAACCTAAGTAGTAGGTACAGAACTATATATGGTTTTATTCCAATTTTGAAAGTTTACATACAAAGTTTACTATAATTAATTTGGTCCAGAAAGTGGACTGTAGTATAATACTCCAGGCAATGAATGCTTGTGGAAAAAATATTAGTATACAGAGGAAAAACAAATTGAAGGGAATTTTAATTTGTTTCTGTGTCCAGAACTTCAAATGAATTTCTGTGCTAGACATACTAAAATTCCTGTATAGGAAACAAGACAGTTCATGAAATTTTCAGTATTTTCTGTTCCATCCATTTCATCCATTCCATCTGTACATTTTGTCCTCTATCCAGGCCATCACAAGAATAAACATTAATAATGTTTAAACATGAATAATCCAAATTACATCACAGTAATATGAATTTGACTAAGCTGAATGACTCTATCAGACCAACAGTGCTCAATATCATACTAATGTTTCAGCATGCCCAGAGTAATTTTTTGGAGTGCCTACAGTACTTAACTTTTGGAAAATTTTCTCTGTGAGAACTATCTCAGAAGAAGATGTAAAACACACACTCTGATTTTTCTTGGTTGAATGCTTTGCTATAGCAAGTTGGTTACAACCTATAGCAGGAATGTTGCAGCCACAGGACAATGTCCCTTGCGTACTTAATGAAGACTATAAAACTGAAAAAAATAAAATAGGATTCATGAATTCTTGCAAAGTGATGCTATTTGGTAAAGGAAGACACCTAAAAGACTGGCCTGATACCTCAATTACATCAATTAAAAAGTCATATTTTTAGTCTTGATCAAAATTATTTGAAGGTTAGGAGTCCCACTGAATATATAGTAAATCTTTAACTATTAAAATGTGAGCATTTCTCACTCACAAGGAGGTTGAAGCCACAGTCCCCGTATATTGAGTGAAAAGTTGTCATCCTTTACCCCTCTTAGGAACTGCGATGATCAAAGTTTGTCTGTTTTTAGTTCCAGCAGCAGAAAGTTCCCCAACAATAACATCATGTTTTAACACCATTTACAATAAAACCTTTAAGAGCATGCTGAAAAAGGAAATTCCCAGAAGAGATTTCTGATGGATGGGAAGAGTTTGATGTATTTTCTATTTCTAGGTATGGGAACGGAGAAGAGTTATCAATTTTTCCCAAGACTGATGTGTAAGTTTGGTCCTGAAGGAGATGTAAAAAGGTGAGCTACGATGTTTTAACAAGCACATGACAGCACGCATTACTCTGTTATTCTGACATAACCTCATGGCTCTGTAAGCTTAGGAGCTAGTCCAAGTGGATGACTATATAGAGTAAGTATGGGCATGTGTGATCAAGAACACCAGGTGTATCATGGATGGTAATTCTAGTGTTTTATTATATTCATAACATAAAGAATCTGACATTGTATTTCCTTTATTACATACCCACTTGCAACACATTAGAATTGATTTGTTGCCTTTATGAAGTACAGTGAATCATCCTGAATTTTCTTTTAGAAAGCAGCTCATAAGCAAGGATTAGATTTTCTAAAGGTTCACACACTTTGAAATATTTTCATAAATCACCCAAGAAATTAATTATAAACCCAAACAGATTACATTTCCTTCCATTAATCAGAAAATGTTACTCTTGCTTCCATTCCAGCTTACAAAGACACAGAATCATTGCTCTCATACATGTGTATAAACACATCTATACATACATACATACACACGCAGTATGAGGCTTTTAAACCTTTAAGCAAAATAAGAAAGTATTTATCTTACCAAGTTTTAACAGCTTCATAATTTCTGAAAAGACACCATCCCCTACTATACTATGATTGATCAGAATCACTCAGAAGATAAGAATCTGTAGGGACTCCATCACTTCTAGAAAGAGTATTTTTCCCTTGTAAAGTGCTAAGAAGTTGATAATCCAGGGTGTAACAGACTCTGAAAAAAGCATCAGAGAAGCCATACACAGAAGGAGGAAAAAAAAATTCTGTAAAGCACCTACTAATATAATATTAACAAGCAAATATCTATTTGACATTGATTCTCAGGAAATTAAAAATGGAGTATAAACTGCAATGGATTTCAGTTTAGTATTTTAGAGAACAAGAAGATCTTTAAATGATTGAGGTTATTCTGAAATTGACAGAAAGTGCAATGCAGAAGCAGTTAGCAGGAGCATATGGAGGGAGCAGACCAGCAGTGGCAAATTACGCAGTGCATTCAGAGGAACTAAGGTCTGTGTTGCAGGTTACATGTAGAAAGACAAAATCATTCCGAAGAACTGGTGTTTTTTTCAATGCCACTGAACTAATCACCTCAGAGGGCTCAATGACTTGGCATGTATATACTTAACATATAGTTTTCTATCATGCCTTTTGTAAAGACTTGCATTAATTATTTAAAATAAATATTCCTGTCATTAACCTAATCAGAAAACTGCCAGTGTCTTGAATCTGTTTAGTGAGACAGATTTTTCTGTGCTGCTAGCATATCAGATTTACCCTTTTTGAGCATGCCAGGTTTATAACAAGGAAGAAGGAAAACTGAATCTCAGACTGTCACTTAAAGCATCATACTTTTAACCTCCTCCTTCCATCCAGAGCTCTTTACCTTTACTGACACCCTCTGGTCCCTATGTCTAAGTCACGTTTGAATTCATTCCAGTATTCCTTAGAAATTTGACTTTCCAAATCAATACTTTGTGGAGCACAGAACTGGACATTTTCTGAAACTCCCATAAATCATATTACAGATTCCCCAATAGTTTACAATGTCAGCAACTTATTCAGGGGACTCAAGCAAATTTGCCAGTCATGACCTTCCTGTATTAAATCTGTGCTAACAGTCCTCCAAGTTACGCGTTTCTTAAAGTTGCTCTTTATTATTTCCTAACAGCAGAGCTTTTAATCATACCTTTTATCTTAGCTGCTAGGATATCTTTCCTTAAAACCTGTTTTCAAAGTTCCTTTCTTTCAAATTTTCAACTATGATTCAGCCAGCCAGGTTTTTTTTTAATTTTCTGTTTTCATTCTTAGTACACCTGCCCTTGTTATAAAATGAAATTAAGATCCCTACCCCTGACATGTAAACCTAGTAGGACCTTCAGCTTCATACTGACCAATAAAACTAAAATCTACATTCTTAATCTCCCAACTATCCACAGCTATCTTCACACTTTTATATCATGCTCTGCTAGTTCTGACTTTTTGCATGGGCATTTGCTTTGTAAGTATATGAAATAGAAGCGTTGCACATTGAATAGTCCCCTTCTAAAACTACTTAGCTTTTATCACCTCCAAGGATGCTTAACACTTTATCCTCCATAATATATTTGTTGTCTTCCTAGACTTTGTTTTCTTAACCACATCTCTTAAACACTGCCATAGTTAAAAGTACATTACCACTGAGGGCCTCTGTACATGAAACATTCCTCAGTTACTATAGTTCACATCTTAGTTTTCTGTCTTCCTTTTGGCATACCTCACACTAGTAAACAAGAGTTTTCCCTCGCAACAAGAGAGAGAAAGAGTTTTCGAAACTTTGTAGCTAAGTGCTATAATAATTAAAGTATATTTATTAAATATACTTTTAGAATTTCTAATAGATAATTTGATAGCTCTTTAAAGTAATGGCCCAGTTATTACTAATTCTTTCAATATCCACTGTAATAACATTAATCATGATGAACTGATTTTGCGTTAATATTGATTGCCACAAAGTACTTCTGAAGGAGTTGTACTATAACTCAACAGGAATTAATTGCACTTTCATTAATTAGAAAATATCATTCAAATTTTACTTATCAGGAACCCCTCCTTAGCTTTTGGTTAATAGTGAGTGTGGAATTTCTATGTACTTTTAAACTTCAGAGTCTCATCAAAAGCTCACTGAAGTCTAGAAGAATAACTTCTCAGAAAAAAACTAGCACCAGGTCCTTGATTTGGAAGAAAAAAAACACAAAACAAAACAAACAAAAAAACAAACAAAAACCTCCACACTAAAAAAATGAAAGTAAAACTTATTTTAGAAATTAAAAAACAAAACAAAACAAAAAGTTGCAAAAACTTTTTAAATTTCTGAAATATTGCAGCACATAGAAAACTTTAGTCCTCACATTACACTATCTTGTGTAACTTCTGTTGTATGAATTTTCTGTGCTCAAGAGGAATGAAACTAAACATCTAAAGTACAGATACAGTAATGGATGATTTTTTTTCTCTGATATAAAAATCTTAAAAACAGTTTCATTCTTTATGTTCCAATAACTCTCGGTTCATCTTCTAGCCAGTTCATGGACATTCCTTACAGTTTTATCAACTGTCCTCACATCAGAGAGGAAAAGTCAGTGCATCCTTATGTAATTTCATTTCTTCTGCCTGTCAGCAAAGGATAACGGTCCAGGCACCATACTTTTCTAATTCTAGAGATAATTGTTTATGCCAAAGCCAAGTATCATTCTGAACTCCAAAACAACACAACTTTAAGTGAATCACTATAAACTCAACATGCTGGGTTATTTCCTGATTCAACCTCAAGCATTGGTATGACAGCTCTCCCAAATATAAAAAATTACTACCTTGAAACAGGCATTTATTCTCTGGAGTATGTATTTTTTTTTCAAAATCCTCACATCTCTCTTCACAACTCATTCACTGCAGTAGTTTGCTTTGCTAGTTAAATGACAGGAAGCACAGAGCAGACCACAGTAATTTCTGCTTCAACTTTTCTTCTCAATTATGACAACAATTTCAACGTAAAATTCAAAACAAAAAACCACAAAACCCATAAACCTGCAGTAGGAGCCCAAAACCGGGATCTCTCACCCTTGCCGGCTTCACAGCAGACTGCTCACAGAGATGCCGCGATGGATATTAAAACGAATAATCTGCACACACTCCAAAGTCTAACCAGGGAAATCAGTGCCTGGCTGGGGGAACGGCAGAGACACTTACCGCTGCTGTGGAACCGTCTCTCTCGCCCTGACTCTCAGTCTCTCTCTCCCATCCTTCTGACAGCCTCAAATATAGCAGTCCCTTATGGTGCTGAGCCTGGGGGAGCAGAGGATTGCAGAGTTGGGTTTTTTCCTTATTCTTTTTTTTTTTTTCTTTTCTTTTTTTTTTTTTTTTTTTTTAAACCATCCAGAGGTAGTTCTCCAGACCCGACCGCCTCTTCTCGCCTCGCTCACTGATGGAGAGCCCCAGGTGAAGGCATCCGCTCCGGCAGCTCCCGCGAGCCCCTCCCGGCCCCGCCGTGCCCCCTCCCGGCGGGGGGACCGAGGCGCCTCCCCCGGCTGCTCCCAGGGGGGCGGCGGAGGTTCTGCCCGCCCCTACCCAGACGCGTGTGGATGTATAGATGATGTGGATATGTGTTCATGCGAGTGCCATCTCACACCGCTGCTCGCCGCTCGCCCCTACCCCTAAGCGCGCAAGCACCCCCCCGCCCCTGCCTCCTCCTCCTCCTCCTGCTCCTCTCCACCTTCCTTCCTCATTTTCTCCTCTTCACTCCTCTGCCCCTGAGCGTGAAGGCAAGAGGGATAGTTGGGGAGCGCTGTCCCCTGATCTCCTGCTCCCCTCATTCAGACCACCAGTTTTTCCCATCCACCACTTTCTGACCCCATCCTCTCCTCATCCCCTTGTCCATCCTCCTTCCAGTAGATTGTTTATTAAAGATTTTTTTTTTTTTTGTAATGCATTTTATTCCCCTCCAGTGGTGATGATCCTCCCTACCCCCGCGCTCTGCAAGCCGAAGCCAGGGAGCCGGGAGCCGCGGCTGCTGCCCGCACCGCACCGCACCGCACCGCGCGATCTCCGTCTTTACACGGCGGCTGCTCTGGCTGGAGGCACAGCCGGGGAACCAACCCAAGGCCAGCAGCCATAACGCCGGCAGCCCCTTCCCTCCCTGCTCCCTTCCCCATCATCCTCCCGCTGTTCACCGCATCCCTCTGCCCAGCCCGTGGCAGCGCCCCGCCTCGCCCCGGTCCCGGCCGTGCGCTCCGCGCCCGCCCCCGCAGCGCCGCCCCCCGCAGCACCCGCCCGGCCGAGCCCCGGGGCAGGGCTGGCGGCGCCGCTCCTCCGCATCAGCCTGTCGCGTCTTCCTCGTCCGCTTCGCATCTACCCGTACAAGTAGTGGGTTCCCATTCTTTGCCTCTCTCTAATGGCTGCCCTCAGGTTTCAAGCTGATTCTAATCCTTTTTTTTTTTTTTTTTTTTCTTCCCCCCCGTGGCAATGGCAACTTTCTGCTTTAACATTTAATACTTTTCTATCCTTCTGTGCTTTCTTTCCTTGCATTTTTCCCCCTTTTGCCTTCCACAAGTAGTGTAACGCATTAACTAACTGTTGTGTAATTCCTATTCTCTGAGATTTTTCTTTGCTTCAGTGACTCCATTTCAACTGTGCATGCTTTCTGAACCTCTGTGTTGTACATATATGTGTGTATGTGTTTGTGCATTTTTCTTTACTGACTTGCCTTTGTACCTATTTATTTTTCCTATCCCAGATACTTTCTGACTAGCTTTTAGAAACTGACCATGTTTCTTAGATTAATGATAACGGATTCTGGACTCATTCTGGAATCTGCTGAGGGTTCTTACACAAGTCCAGTCTTGAACTGGCAATACTCATAGAAGTTTTTCCTATGTGTCTTTGTCTTATCTTTTATATTGAAGGCTCTAGCAAGATAGGATACCAGTGATGAGACTTTTGTACACTTTTGTGGTCCTGTATACTATGTGAAAGTCCATCAGAGGATTTACAGCTCAGCAGTTCAATGAATTCTGCCCACTATTATCAGTGAGAATGAGCTGAAAAAACCTTAAATTTTTTTTTTTTCATTATTCTATGATTGTAGATTTTTGTTCCTTCATCACCATCTCCCACTGTCTTAACTATCACAGTGGAAGAGGGAGAATGAACCCATCATTAGAGATGGACTTTCTGTATGCACTATCCCATACAAACACAGAAGAAAATTGTCTCCACAACTGTAAATAGGTCTCCAGGTGATTTCTATTGGGCAAGTAGTGTTGCAACTTGACATATCAAAAATTCTCTTCATTTACTCAATTCGCAGAAAATTATCATCTGGTCATTATTTCCAGTGTTACTAGGTTACAAGACAGTACTTAATCAGAAGATAGGAATAGTGACTGCATTAATTCTGATCTTATGAATAAATTATGAGGCTTCATTTCTCAATATTTCCAAAGTGAACATTAAAGCCAGAAGCATTTTTACTAATAAATGTAATTTTTTGCATGTTGTAGCCATTTATGACAATAGTGAGGAATTACTTGTGAAGATGTGACTTTCAGTGTTTACTTGTTTTTCAGATAGAGACAATTAAAAGAATGCAAATTTTTTTTAAGTCATAAAGACTGGAGTTTATGGCTTTTATCTTCCTTTGCAAAGTTTATAGATCAGGTTTATTTTTAAAGACCATACTAAGGCCCCTATGTTAGACCCATTGGGTTATACACTATTTTTGCTTTTGGCTCATTTTCATCAGAGTTCTTGTCAAAGTACTCATTTCTTTTGGATGACAGCTTTTAATGTTTGCTTCCTTCTTTTTACCTTCACGTCAACAATATTTCTACAAGGTGATATTTGTACCTTTTCCTTTAAAATAATTAGGAAGGCGCTGTATTTGTATGAGTACCAATTTTATCTTTCACAGATTTAAAATGGGTTAAAATTTCATTTGATGGTGTGTATCCTTTACAAAGTGAGTTCCTGCTTTACTCCACCACTGTAAGATTGTGATCTGTTTTATGGCATGTATGTTCCATGTTTAATGCATCAACAGTGAATTATATTCACCCCTTTGTTATAATACTATTATTGCTATGGACTTTAGGTCAACCTAGCTGCATTTTGCATATCTGGTCTAGTTGTCTAACTATCTCTGAATAAATGTCTTAATCTCTCTATCGCAATGTCCCCAGTGGACAAGCAAACAGATGCAGCACATCTGCAGAGTCCGAGTTGTTTCTGAGCTTGTTTCTTACTTGTTTTGTACTTCTTTCCTTTTCATTCAATCTCTCCCATTCTTTTAAGCAGAGCATAATATATTCTTTTTCTTTGCCACATGCAGAGCTATCTGAGCAGTACCATTTTTTGGGAATATTTCACTGCTGTTTCTTGACCAATTGCAGAATATAAGTAAAAGATAGAGAGTGAATTTTGAAGAAAATAGTTGGCTACACAAATTTCTCCTTCTCATCTGTGCCTGCAACAGCACTGGGGGTGTTGCTTTAGAGTATAATAAAACCTTCTCTTACTCTTCGCCTCCCATTTATGAGAAGTTCTTTGAAGTACCTGGAGAACAGTTTTTGAAAACACTAGCTTTTGAAAGGTATACATTGGCCCTGTTTTAGTACACAGTTGTATAATTTTAGTGGCAACCACTATATTTTGTCCTCCCCTAGAACATCTGGATATACTCCTCATATCTGTATAATTAGAGTTATAGGAAAATTTTGTAGGAGAAGAAATAGCATTATATGTGAATATGACACATAATTCTTCAGGCCTTTGGCAAACAGCAGAAGATTCAGAGCCTACTATGAAAGCTTTCAGTTATAGCAGATAATTAACAAACAGGAGACATTAACAATGGGAGGAAGTTGTTGCATTTAAAAAAAAAAAAAAAGCCTCTGGGGACTTCAGGCTCCTAAATTTTCAGAAATGCTGACAGATGACACCTGGTCCTACATAGACTGGAAGAAAATTAACCTATTTGAAAAAGTTTTGAAGCAGCAGAATGAAGCATGTTTCATATCGCAGGTTTATAGCATGCCACAATGGTCTTTTTGATTCTGTAAGAGAAACTTGTTAACTGAGTGTGTTGTTTCTGTGAACAATAATCTAAGTAAGAGAGGATGGCAGAACTGTACTGCAGTACTGCAATTTGTCAAGCACCGCAAGGATGATGAGGCCATTCTGCTACTTGGTAAATATCACCAGTGTAAATTTCCACTGCTACCTGGGTGAAGAGAAAATGGGCTGGGTACTGTATAGTTTGAGATATCCAGGTATAGGCAATATACTTGTACCAAAACAATAATTATCAAAGAGCTAACTAGCAATGCTGTGGCATTCAATTATTAACAGAAGGGGACAGGCTGAGCTCTCCCTTGTCTCTGCAGAAGTCACAGACAGTGGGAGAGACATGGGAAAGTGACAGATGTATCTTAACCTTATACCAAACCCATTTATACATTAATGCTCCCCTGAGTGCTACCGGCGTTGTGAGGAAGTGGTCTAAAGGAAACCAGAGGAACAGGTTCTTAAAAGTCAGTCTTCTGGCTACTGACAGAAACAAGGATGAACTGACCATTAGAGAGGGTTCCTCTTTTCTGTGCATGCTTTGTGCAAGTGCAATATAGTTTTGTAGTTTCAGAGGCAGAATAAAGATCAAAAGGGATTTGCAGATTCATATTCTCTCCTGGCTTTCCTAACCTTACGAGAGACATACCTGGAACACCTGTTATGAGATACAATGCATTGCTTTTGATGTTGTGATACAACTACTAGTTAATATGCTAGGAAAAAGCAAACCCATAATTTTCCTTATTCTTTCCAGCTTGATCTTCACCATATGTACAGGAAGGATCTAGTGCCCCCTGGAGACTGATTTTACCTTCTACAAATATGGGAGCGAAATGCATAAAGGGGTAAAGAATGGAAAAAATCCCAGATCTGCTTACCGCTGCAGCCATCCCATGGTATCATGAGCTGTTCTGAATAGAGATTTAGTAAGGGGTAGTGGTGATTCATAATCTTCAAAGTAGATAAAGAAAAGGAAAATAAAAGGTTCTCTGAGGACCATAGAACTGAAAAAAATCAACCCATAATTATACCTGAATATTCCAGCAGCAATGAAAACTCGATAGTAACAAAGATTAAACACAGTATCTTCCTAACATTCATGTCCGAAGAGCCATGAGCACAAAAGGATGAAAAGAGTGTCCTCCATTGAATTACAGAATGGTCATAGTCCATGACTGCTGAATGCAAACAGTGGTAGATACTAAATTTAGTGTCCTAACTCATATTTCAATACCTAAATATAAATGGCCTGTTTTTTTTCAAAGATGTTGAACAATTCCAGGTTCCTCTGATTTATGTTGTTACTTTAGAGAAAAAAAAAAAAAGACTTTTTTGTTTAAGTATCTAACAATGGTAGACATAATTCTGCCCTTACAGACCAGAGCTTTGTAGCCTACTTTGTAAAATATTTGGATACATTGTGCCTCCCAAAGAATAAAAAA